ATATTCTAAAGCATTTATTTAAAAAAAATTAACCCACTAAACTCTAAGAAAATGCATGCCATTTTTCTTAATGTTCTTAAGAGTAATAAAGTCACTAAACATGTTTAATGATTTGCAATACTCATTTCTCCAAAGATCGGGTAGTCCTGAAAAACTGATTCTCTCTAATTCAGAAGTGAGAGTCATGGGACTTCATAACAGGCATCACAAAGTATCTATTTTCCATTAGGAAATGGACTTCATCTCTCTAAGAGATACATCTATTTTACATCCAATTCTAATAAGCCTAGATAGTATATTTACTCAGCACATAGTATTTTAGAGGCTGTCCACAGTAAGAAAGAAGCAGTTACTATCCTTTATTTATATCATATAAAAGAAACTTCAGGGGAAAAAACGGGAAAAAATAGATAAAACTAAAGAAATAAATACAAGAAAGGTGTTTAGGAGAATTTATTTAGGGACAAACAACTTTATAAAAGAATACTCTTGAGAGTAACACTATAGCTAGCATAATACATGATATATCAAGTAAGAACAACCATTAAAAGTGGTTAAAATTAAAGGTTTCAATAACTAAAAATAAGTTTCAGTTACTCATGTAAATAGCTCTATTACCTGATTATGCAGAATACATCATACTTCTTTTTAAGTGCAAAACCACTCAAAGTTGTCCAGGCACTGATAACAATTTAATTTACCAAGAAGCTCTACCCTGTGAGAGCAGAGAGATTCAATCCTTTTCTTTTTAAGTGTACAGTCATCCCTTGGTATCCATGGGGAATTGTTTCCAGGACCCTGGAGGATATCCAAATCTGAAGATGCTTAACTTCTTTATATAAAATGGCATAGTATTTGCAGATAACCTATCATATCCTCCCATATACTTTAAGTCATCTCTAGATTACTTATAATACCTAACACAATGTAAATGCTATATAAATCGTTATACTGTATTTTTACATTTGTATTTAATTTTCTTTTCTAATATTTTCGATAGGCGGTTGGTTGAAAATATTGTACTAACCGTGAGGATGCAGAACTTGATACAGAGGGCTTACTATATATGGAATGTAAAACATATAATGTGTATGTATGTGTATATAATTTTTTTTTTCTGAGACAGAGTCTTGCTCTGTCGCCCAGGCTGGAGTACGGCGGCATGATCTCAGCTTACCGCAACTTCTGCCTCCTGAGTAGCTGGGAAACGGGCACGCACCACTATGCCCAGCTAATTTTTGTATTTTTAGTAGAGATGGGATTTCACCGTGTTGGTCAGGCTGGACTCGAACTCCTGACCTCGTGATCCACCCGCCTCCGCCTCCCAAAGTACTGGGATTACAGGCGTGAGCCACTGTGCCCGGCCATATAATTTTTATATACATATGTCTGTAACTAAGTTACAACATTTATACCACATTGTAAATTTTGTTTTCTATTTAAATTTTGTTTAAAAGGTTTTGTTCCGTTATAAATCACATTAAGCTTTGTCTAAGAAGGCAGTATTTGAGATAAGGACTAAGCAAAGAGGTTCTGGAGAAGTCTTTTTTGAGGGAAACTAGAAAGGAGAAAAGAAAAGAATGGAAAAAAATAAAATTATATTAATTTGGTCACAGTGGATTAAAGTTTCTGTGTAGTCTCTCTGGACTAGCAGAAAGCAGACAAAATATAATGTAACCCGGCCTGTTTACAGGTAAAGAAATAGAAATGATGGGTCTTGGCAACATTTATAGCAAAACCTGAACAGTTACTCAGCTCTCAGGTCTGGAGATAAGCTGTAAATGACATTTATTAAAGAAAAGTTTCTCATATCTTTATAAGAAAGAATAGTAAAAATGACTATAACAAAAATCAGAATCTCTGGCAACACATGACAATGTATGTTAATGGTTTAAAAAAAAAAACCCATAGATTCTTTTTTTTTTTTTTGAGATGGAGCTTGCTCTGTCACCAGTAATCCTAGCACTAAGCATCGAAGAAGTCCTGTGGAGACAGTAAGAATCTAAGAGGTCCTTTGGAGAAGTTCTATAAAAGCTGAGAATTATAACCGAGTTTTTGGAAGTCCGTTTAAATTCTACTTGGTCTAAATCTAAAATTCTGAGACCAGGTGCCTCTGAGCTTGAGTGGTGAGCATGGGGGTGGTTTACATTAGATGCCCAGGTACCTTCCTTATTCAAACATCAAGAAAGACCTACATGTAGGACTGCAGTTCTGAATGTCTATCATTTTATTTGTGTAAGACCATAGTTACATGCTTATCAAATACATCCAACTGCTTCTGCATTAAGAACTACCACACACTATTTGGAATTTAGTAGGTATGAACAAAAACAGAGGGTTCAGATCATCTCTCCTTTTCAATTCTTCCCACTCTCTTACCTTGAGAGGTGGTACTTTTCGCACCTGGACCCTGTCCCCTCTGTTGAGAAAGGGCTGTGGTGAGACCTGAAATGGCTGCTGGTGCTGGCGATTCTCAGTGAGACGTGGCCTCTTCTCCCAGCTCACAAGGACCTCTTCTTGGGTGAGGGAAGACTTCCTCTTGAGGCTTTCTGGGCTCTGATCAACAAGAGTTGCTAGAGGTTCTTTCACAGTGGTCTCTTGTGGACCTGCTTCTGCTATGGGCTTCATCACTGGTTTTTCTACCCCAGGACTAATGGGTTTGCTTGGCGATGTAACTAAAGATTCTTGGCTTTCACTTTTGTTATAATTAGAAGCGGTGGTGAGATGATTCTTCTCAGATTCCTGTTCAGCAGAGGCGACTGGCTTCTGCTCCAAGAGATCCTCATCCTTTGGGCACTTGATGGGAAGAACGCTGCTAAGCTCATGTGTATTGAGAGCTGAGGAAAGCAGGGGCGCTGTGGATGTGGAGAAGTTTGGCTGCACTTCATCTTGGCTTTCACACTCTTCTTTTCTGCCTGGTGATGACATATGCAATGCTTCTTCTTTACACTCTGACTGGGGGACTACTGGAACTATCCTGACAAGAGAGGCCTCTGATACAGACATGGATTTTGGTTGTTCAGCTGGGGTTTTCTTTACTTTGGGATCGCTGGGAGAAGCTGTTAATTTCTTAGAATCTTCAAGGCTCAGGCCAGAACTAAAAAGGGGAAAAAAAAGATATTCTAGTTGAAATGTAGAAAAATCAGCTTACAGAACTTTTTTGAGATAGGGTCTCGCTTCATTGTCCAGGCTGGAATGCAATGGCATCATCTTGGCTCACTGCAACCTCCACCTCCTGGGTTTAAGTGATTCTCCCACATGAGCCTGGGTCTACAGGTACACACCACTACACCCAGCTCATTTTCTGGTATTTTTTTGCAGAGATGGGGATTTGCCGGGTTGCCCAAGTTGGCCTCAAATTGCTGGGCTCAAGCGATCCATCCCCCTCGGCCTCCCAAAGCACTGGGATTACAGGTGTGAGTCACTGCGCCTGGCCACAACTTATGGAACTCTTTTTTTTTTTTTTTTGAGACAGTCTCGCTCTGTCACCAAAGTGGAGTGCAGTGGCGGGATCTCTGCTCACTGCAACCTTTGCCTCCCGGGTTCAAGCGATTCTTCTGCCTCAGCCTCCAGAGTAGCTGGGACTACAGGTGTAAGCCACCACGCCCAGCTAATTTTTACATTTTTAGTAGAGACGGGATTTCATCATGTTGGCCAGGAGGGTCTTGATCTCTTGACCTCATGATCCACCCACCTTGGCCTCCCAAAGTGCTAGGATTATAGGCATGAGCCACAGCGCCAGGCTGCTTATGGAATTCTTAACCTCAACAGGAATCTTTCCTAAATGACTGTGAAGGAGATGGATAAACACTAGTTGGAGACAAGGAAAAGGAGCGCTTAGTTCTCAAGCTGTGGTTATGGGTCTCCTTAAGGGCTGCCATTGGTGTCCAGAAGGAAGGAAGGGAGACTAACAAGTAGAAGTCTAGGTGTTCAATCCTATTTCAAACAAAACATTTCCATTACTATCTATTTAAATGTCCCATTACAATTTCGTTGTTGGACCTTTTGTTGGGGGAAAAAACTGATTTAGGCTACAGCCCCTTTTAAACAGAATTTATCTCTTGATTCAGCTATGTATATCTCCCAGCATGCCTTTTAAAGAGGAGAGGCTGTTTAATTACAGGTTAGTTCTAATAGTCCACATTACAGAATTCCTAAGATTCCTTAGTGATTCTGGATAGCTACATTTTGGGATAATTAGCTACTATAAAGAGTGGACAGAACCTCAGTATTCTGGCCAGGTGCAGTGGCCTGTCTGTAATCCCAATACTTTGGGAGCCAAGGAGAGCAGATCACTTAAGGTCAGGAGTTCTAGACCAGCCTGGCTAACATGGTGAAACCCCATCTCTACTAAAAATACAAAATTTGCCAGGCATGGTGGTGCACGCCTATAATCCCAGCTACTCGAGAGGCTGAGGCAGGAGAATTGCTTGAACCTGGGAGGCAGAGTTTACAGTGAGTCTAAGATCGTGCTATTGCACTCTAGCCTAGGCAACAAGAGGGAAACTCCGTCTCAAAAAAAAAAGGAACTTCAGTATTCTTCTGTCTTATAAAGTAACCAGAAGAAAAGCCAATCTTTTCAAAGAACGGAACTCTTAATTCAAGATTTTTTTTTAAATTTATTTTTAAAGAAACCATCTCACCTACAATGACAGTTATAAGGGTAAAGGATTATGAGTAATCTAATTCTGTGAACCTGTGATTTGTAAAAAGAAAAAAACTTCCTAAAGAAGAATTGGTGAGACAAAAAAACCAGAAGGAAACTAGGTCCTAGATTTTCTGTTAAGGTAATGAGATAAAGCACTACATGACATATATGCAAGAAATAACATTTGGTTTATAGAACCTGTCCTAATATTACCTCTGCCCATAGTAGCTTTCAAAGAATTGTTCTTTCCATGGCTCCACTTTTTTCTCCTTCTCAATCTCTTGCCGAATTCTCACCTGCATCTCAGGTGTAAACTCACCTGTAATGTACCCAAAAAAGGATATTCAATAGAAAAATGCTATTTGCAACACGCATGTAACTCTTTATAAATCATGAAAGACTCATGCAGAAATCAGAATACTATCATGTGAAAGTAACCAAAACTTCCCAAACCTCCTCACTGTAAAGGAGGACCTAAATGCCACTAGGCGAAATAAAAATGTTTGCACACCACTCCATGTAGCTTTCAGGACTCATCTGAGGCTGACAGAGCCTTTTCCCTGGGCTTCCCTGTGGTACCTTTCTCACACTCCAAATATCACATTCCATACAGATTTATTTTATTTCTTACTTTGAACTTCCAATTTATTTTCTACCAAAAAAAAAAAAAAAAAAAAAGTTATGTGCTTTCAATAACCTATGCCACTGGACATTTTTACTATTTTAAATTTCAGTTTCTCCAAGGCAACTTAATTTTAGGCCTTCTACCTCTAACTGCATAAAGAAATGCTGCAGCCCGACTTAAAAGCATTTGAGATTCCCATCTGGAGTTGTCAGTTTTCTAATTGTTCTAGAAACTGTACCAGGCTCATGCTCTAGCAAGAAGGTACTCAACATGTGAAAGACCCAGCTGCCCTGAATATGCCATTTACTTGCATATACTACCAACCACCTCAATCCTTCCCACTCCATCAGCAGAGAACAGTGAATGTGCTTGGTAGGCCATCTTCAAACTTGTGGCTCAGATAGGCTGCTCCCTTTTATACTCTACTACCCAGGACATCAAGGAGTAAGAGGTAGAAATGGCAGAATTTGAAGTTTAAGACCTCCTGGGATGAGAAGAAGGAAAGGAAACGTACTATTAGAGGACTGTGAACACCACAGTCGTGGGCAAAGGATTGGGAAAAGAGGGGTTTAGCTGTCAGAATCCACCCTAGAACTTCCGACGTTGAGTCTACTGTGTATCCGAAAATAAGGAATAAAATGTATTGAACTCTGTTCACATACATACAGTGTTCCAAGTTTTTGTTGCTCATAAAATATGATCACATGACTATAGGTACAGCAGTCACTGCTTGCATGTTAAAAAAAAAAAAAGTAACACTGATAATAATTGTAGTATCACTGCTGACAGTACCTACTTACAAAAAAGTGGGGGCTGAGGAGGTAAATCCTTTACCAATTTATTCTTAAAGAAAGGTATTGGTAACTGGTATGTTTTAATCTTTCTGGAAGAAAAAAGGGGGGGTCTCTGCCTCAAAAAACCTATAGTAAAAATAAAGGACCAAAGTAATCAGAGCAAGAGATCCCTTCTACATAGAACTTCCTCTAAAAGAAGAGGATGGGAAAAAGTCAACAATTTCAAGAAACAACCTAGATTAATTTATTAGCTATTCATTTAACTCTAATTGTTAGGGATCTGACAGAAAATAAGCAGTGCATAGCATTCCTAATGTGCTCTTTACAAATGTATATATTTTAGAGTCTCTCACACTTGTTTTAGGCTATTCTTTGGTATATGACTTTTCAAGTGCTATTTTTTATTCCATGTATACTTAAAAACAGATGTAATAAAAATAATTCAGCCAGTGATTTTACTTATGGCTGCATATTAGAATCGTTGGGGAAAACTTTGAAAAAAGAAAACCAGTAAAACTCAGACACTAATCCAGAACAATAAAAACAACATAACTGACAGTGGTGTCTGTACATCAGTATTTTTAAAAACACCACAGGTGTTTTTCAACAGTAGAGGTGAAGAGCTACTAGTACTGACAGATACTACATGCAGTGCCCACACACAGTCAGTCATTAGAAGCATGGCACACATGGCAGACCAGTGATCATAGTCAGTAATTCTACGTCATGATCCATACTTACTAAAGTGTTCTGACTGCCAATTAATTGTACATTTCAAATGGCTGAATGTTATGTTATATGAAATATACTTCAATGAAGTGATCTTTTTAAAAGTTCTCACTGATTCCTTTTACTACTAGTTTCATTAAGGCTAGGCAGTGATAAACAGGTTATTTCATTGCTTACTGAACTGGGATGCAAAGCACCATAAAATGACTAATTCTATACTCTTATTAGGGAGCCTATTAAAATTTCAGTTCCTAGGCATTAATGTAGAATTGCTGAATCAGAGTCTTTAGGAACAGGGCCTCAAAACATGTATTTTTATTTTCTTGGAAGACTTTATATCATTAAAGAAACATTTTGCTGGACTCCATCTGGTGTTAACCTGGTTACACAGGCTCCAGATAGAAGTCTAATAACGTGTTTCACAAAGGATAGCTAATTCTATCCTATAGAAACATCCTTCCTTTACCTTCCAAAACTGCTTAATTACCTGATGAAGAAGAGAGGTGCTCCGAGTGCACACACCGCCTGGGAGACACATTAGGTAGAATACTTACCTTCTGAAAGTCTTTCCTTCCAGCCTTGGGCTGCTGAAGTGAAGAACTCATTGTTAAGGGCTGAGCCATTTAACTTCATTAAACCATCTGGACCAACCTGGGTCAAAGAATAAGCCAAGGAAAGCTTACAAAGAAATTGAAAGGTATCATGTAGTATTTGACTTCCGTTTCATTTTAGAAAAGAATGTATGTGCATTACATTCCTTTCCTATTTATCTTTCCTCACTCCTTTCTCTCCATTCACGTCCATTCCCTAACAATTAAAAATCTACTCACAGAACCACACATATAATGCTGGAACAACTGGCTATTCACTCAGTAGAAAATAAAACTGAATCCCAGATTCAGACTAAAAAAAAAGATGAATTAAAAATCTAAATGTAAATTTTAAGTCAAAAATAGTTCCTTTTGAAGAAAATTAAGAAAGATTTGGACATCCTTGAGATTGAGGAACTCTTCTTAACCCACTTAACTTTCTAAGCCTATGTGGGTTGACATCATTTTCCCATGGTTCTACAGCAGAAATTGGTACACCTTCTATAAAGGGATAGACCACAAATACTTTAACTTTGCAGGCAATATGGCTTGATTTCAGCTACTCATCTCTGCCACTGTAGCACAAAAGTAGCTATGGACAATATGAAAACTAACAGGAGTGGCTTTAAGTCAATAAAACTTTATTAACTAAGCAGTCAGCTAGAAATTGCCTAGTGGGCTATAGTTTGCTGACTGCTGATTCATACTCTAGAGAATTGGTACAGGGTAATGGAGTTCCCTATAAGAGCAGTTAATCCAGCCTCCACTTGAGTATTCCAGTGATAAGCAAGTTACTCCACTATAAGCCAATCTATTCTGCAGTTTAATTCTCCAATTGTAAAAAAGTTATTTTAACCCCAAATCTGCTTTCTCTATAACAAAAGTTTACCTCTTCTATATCACGGGCCTTCAAATCTATTGAAAGAGAGGTGTTTTCATCCAAACCTACGTTTTTATCTGGTCTAAATATTTTTCTACTGCTCATTGCTAGATATTCCACACACCGACGTATGACTTCCAGCTTTACATTCTAGTGACAATTAGAATTCTTTAAACATTCTAAATTTCATCTGACAATAGTTTGTATTTCACTTAATCGAAATTCCATATTCTCTACACATAAGGACAATATTACTCAGATTAATGTGGGCTCCAACCATATTAACAACTGAAAAAGACTAGCCAAGTAACCTCCTATTAAGAATACCCCTCCAGGATTGCACTCTATGGGAAAATCAACTAGAAAACCTCCAAGATTCCTTTTAATTCTAAAATTGTATGTGGCAATCCTCCAGACTGAGAGGTTGATAAAGGATATCAGTCAAAAGATAGTTCTGAGGAACCAGCATTAGACTTCCATAAACAGGCCCTCAAATTGGGTCCTGTACTAGTATTCCCAGCCTAACAACCCTGAGTCTTAAAGAAAACAAAACAAAACAAAACAAAAAAACAAAACAAGATGACAGCAATCTTCAAGAGGTTCTCTTAGAACTGCTGAAACTTGAGTCTCCTAACTTGTTCTAACCAAGAACTGGCATCCTCAAAGCTGTAATTTCTCCAAGAAGAGTTAGGGCAGGGAAAGCAGTCACCGAGAAGGACTTCTTCTTTGTCCCTACTGCTGTAAGAATATCTTATTTATTTGCACTCTCTGGACAATGGACTCTGAACTTCTTTGACATGTTCTGATTCATAGCACTATGAAATTGATATCAAGGTAGTTTCTAGTAGAAAGATGATTTTCAGAATTACAAAGATTTAGTTTTAACTTTAAGAGTCAATTAGCTAATAATAAATTCTGTAGCTTACTTATTCTCTGTTATCCTCTTACTATGAACAAGAGAGTATAATAGTCCTTTTACTGTAAATTAAGGAAAATATCTCTCTCATCATTTTAATAAAAATTCTTAAAAGTTGGGGGTTGGAGGGAACTATCACATTACTTAGAACATAGTTGGTATTTGGAAATAATACATTTAAAAAAAATCTCAGAAGTGAAGAAAGCTTAAAAAATCATAATTGTTCTATCTTCCTTTTACAGAGGAGGAAACAGAAGATCAGAAGGGGGAGTGACTTGGTACACCGTTTTCACTGATGAAAGCCAAAGTCTCGGACTTTTACTTTATTCCTGACCAAGCTAAATCACTAAATCTCTCTGGTCCCTGCCTTGATGCTTGCCAAACCTTTGGCATTTCTTTTTGCTACTTTCGTTTTTTTTTAAAGCGTAACTTATACTGGGTTTTCTTTATCATGAAAGTTATAAATGTTTTTCTTAGAAAAATGTAACAAAAATGCAAACAGCAAACATTCCTAAGGACACCACTGTTATACCATGTTGTACTGTCTTTCTAGCTGTATTTATTTATCTGGACCCATGTTTTTGGCTTATTCTTGACATTTTACCATGTTGGCCAGGCTGATCTCGACTCCTGACCTTCAGGTGATTTGCCCTCCTTGGCCATCCAAAGTGCTGGGATTATAGGCATGAGCCACCAAGCCTGGCCCTCCTCCTGAATTTCGTTCTATGGATATCCTACATCCTAATTCAGTCAAATTAATTCTGTAATATTGAAATTCTGGTAGAATTTTTTCCTTTTCTTCAGAAGCCTTATGAAGCCCACCTGTTAGGAAACTCATGTAAAAATATTCTTACTTCTCACTTAGTACCATTAATACCACTTTACAATTATACATAAACAGCTGTTTTAAAAATCTTAAGGAGTTCAATGACGCACCTGTCGATCTACCTCTGGGAGCAGTAAAAGCAGTCGCTGTTGGCAGTCTCCAGGAAGGACTGAAAATGTGTGCTTGTTGATCAGCGCTCGCAGATTTGTATTAACCAGAATGGAGTCTGGTGTCTCAACATCAATGTCGGCACATTTAGTTCTTTTCATTTGTCCTACAAAAACATGGAAAAGGATCATTTGGGCCTCCCTCACAAGTCCTGTGTCTATATAAACTGTAGCTTTCTGTGCAGTATAAAAAAACCCACAGGTTGTATTTAAATATCACACTGTGAAGAAAAGAAGGTAACACTTAAAATCTTAGGATATTCTTCCAAGACTAACAAAACAAGTTTTGTTCATTTATAGAGGATAAAAGAATACAATGTAGTATCTTCTCTGCAAAAATAGAACAAGGTCGGTAAAAGTGGGTCTTCTACCATACTAAAACTTCATTTTATGTTTTTTTTTTTTTTTTT